CATATTGGTCAGTTTCATACACTAAAATCGTCCTTTACTATTCCCATAATAAATAAAAACAAAGAAGTGGTATTAACTCATGAATAACATTTATTAATAAATACATACAGTACCCTCCCCCTAGTGAAAGTAATATGCACGCGCCGCACAAATTTCACAAAAATCACTTTCATTTCGTATACACTTTTTAAATTGACTATAAACCCACACAAAAGACATGTTATACTGATAATAAACCCATAGTTTACCATAATTTCTTGAAAATTAATTTATAATTGCTTGTACAGAATAGCTACATTTATATATGTACACATATTTCGGTATTCCATATATCCTCAATATGAATAATATTGGCTTAATTTGGTCTGTAATTCACAAAGTATGTCGTTCTCTTCCAGGTATAGTACTAGTTGGTGGTGGTGTAGACTAGAATAGCATCATGGAGCCGACGGCAAATATACAGCCAAGAAAACGAAGCGTGGACTGGAATACTAATTGGGACATTTGCTTTATATGCCAGAACGACTCGAAAGTTCCCATACGAAAACTTGGCAGCTGTGGACTGGAGAAAGTACAAAATGCCCTGCGTGAACGCAAGAAATGTCAAGACTATGCCAGATGGGATGTTGTGGAGAGACTGGAAGCTGCAAATTTCTTATCTTTTTCCGACGACACGGAACTCGTGTACCACAAGGACTGTTATGGAACTTTCACAAGTTCCATGCATCTGAAGAGACTACAAAAAAAGTATGACAGTAAGACCTCTTGCACAGAGGATGATGCTTCCACCAGCACAAATGAACAACCATCTCAAGGACTGCGGAGCAAATCTAAACCTTTGAACACAGACTTGTGTGTTTTCTGCCAACAACAGTCAAGAGAAAAGACCAGACTTGCAGCGTCTTTGTCATTCTCTAAAAAGCTACTACAAGCTGCTCAGAAGGACAATGCATTGAGCTGTAGATTAGCTTGCGTGAATGATTGTGTCGCTGGAGATGTACGCTACCACCTCAAGTGTTATGTCAAGTTCACACGAAAAAGTGACAGTGACCCTGACCCAATGAAACAACCGAACCACAGAGAGCTTTGTCTAGAACGCGTTGCACATGAGATTTCCATCGGCATTACCAGAGGGGAAATCTACAACCTCATGGATGTATGGGAACGATATTCTCAACTACTGGCAGAGCTTGAGGTTGATGCTGGAAGTTACAAAGAACACAGAACACATTTCAAGGTCAGATTACAGAAATTGCTGCACGGACAAATTGACTTTGTTCCACAACTGGACCGAAAACAACCACAATTATTGTTCCCTGCGTTCCAGCCAAATCGTCGTACAGGCCCTGAAAGAGACAACCAACAAACTGGATGAAAAGATGTCTGAAGACGGTGGGGGCGGTTTACGTGCCAGTCAGTTTGAAGATCATGATATGGACCAGCTACTAGCATTACACCACACAGCGCTTCGTATCAGATCCGACATCCAGGCCTCACCCTCGAACAGCGATTGTACCTCCATCAATGCAGACAACGCAGCTAAACTTGTTCCTGAGAGCCTCTTCATGCTACTCAGCGTTCTACTCACAGGCGAGCATGGAGATGCTGATGTTGATGAAAGAACGCGAAGGCTATCTCTCAGTATTGCACAAGATATCGTACATGCAGTCTCCAAAGGCAAAGTACTTACCCCAAAACATGTTGGGCTCGGAATGACTATCCACCAAGCCACACGTTCAAAGGACCTTGTTAACCTCTTCCACAAGGCTGGGCACTGTATAAATTACAGTCAAGTTCAACGGTTGGACACAACCCTAGCAAAGCATGTGCTGGATAACCTTACCGAAAGGGGTAACTTCCCCATCCCGCCAAACCTTGTTGAAGGCAAGTTTCTTCAATTTTCGGCAGATAACATCGACATCATAGAAGAAACGCTAGATGGTCAGGGGAACTTTCCATGCAACTCAGGTCATTGCCGACCCGTAGGACCAACGACCCGTAGGACCAACGACCCGTAGGACTATAGATCGGTTCCCTATAGGATTATGTATAATTGTATGAATATGTACTCTTGATGATATCAGATGATATGTAGATTGTGAATGTGTAGATATATATGATGTGTAATCTCGGAGAATGAGTTCGGCGCGGCGGCGCCGGCGGGGGAGCGATGACGTGTAGGGGGGAGTGACTTTTTATAGATGTTTATGGTAATTGCTACATTGTACGTGTGTGGGGTCGGGGTTCGCGACGGAGAGAGAGTGGTACGGGGAATGCAAGATAGGGAACTTGGGAAGGCAGATTGGAAACGAGTGTTGACCGAGAAGGTTGTATGGAGTGTTAATGCAAGGAAAGTAGAGTGACTCAGATTGTACGGAGTGTATACCAAATAAACCAATGAGTGATATATATATATTTAGAGTGTTCACTGTTCAGTATCAATGAAAGAGTGTGCGATAGAACATAGATGATGGAACCGGCACAGGCGAGATTAAGATTTCGCAACAATGATATTGCCGACTTTCTCCATTTAGGTAGTCGGCTGGTCCTTACATTCACCGATTTATTGTATCACGGTATCGGCTAATCTTTCCTACGCACACGGCGACTAACCGTTCGTTACGGCTGACGATCACTGCGATATGATTGACGCGATTGATGAGATGATACGCTCCTGCACAAAGTGTCATGGTAAAAATTGTCCCGGTACATTTATGTTTGTGTGCGATTTCCCCCTGATATAGATAATATATGAAATATGCAACATGTACCCCGTTGCTAGGATGGTCAGTACCTAGCTACAAATGACCTAGCTACAAATTACTCTACGCTGCGTGGCGAGAAGTGAAACAGTCGTGAACAGTCATAGAGCCTCTGGCCGGGGTAGATAGTACCAACAGAGATCACTGCATGGGTTTGATGGTTGTACGCCTCCACAATTATATGGGAATTTTACTTGTGACCTAGCACCGATGCAGAGTTAATTGTTTACATGTTCCCATGCGTCAGAACCTGCAATAAATACCGTTTACATTTCTACGTTTAGTAATACCAAGAGTACATAATAGGAGATTATATCTCCTATTATTTTATATCCTTATATCCTTATTATCTTATATCCTTATTATTATCCTATTATATTATATCTCCTATTATGTACTCTTGGTCTTGGTAATACGTATATAGCATGTAGTCGGTGGTAGGCAGAATTCTCAATAATCTGCTATTAGCAGTGCCCGGATCTGCTTTACCGGTGCCAGCATTGCGCCAACATGTCAATCACAAAAGAAGCCAATACACACATAAAAGACAAACACGAACGCGGCGTAGCTGAATAGCTCTCATTGCGGATGTACGTGCATGGGTGTTGCTATCCCCCGTGCATGCAACCTACTATGGACGTTGCTCTACGGTTACTGTCTTCGCGCATAACAAGGCTCTATACGATACCGACGCAAGCATAAGCACATTCACGAACGTACTCGCAAAACTACCAGGTGCAGGTAACGTCATTGCTACCCACTGCAAATTATACGAGCCATTATTCTGTAAATTGCAAATTCTTTTCGATTGTCAGTAGTTTATACACGTTTCGACTACGCATAATGCACTTGTTTTTCACTTTAAACGTGCGACCGTAGAACGAGCAGACCTGTATGTTATTTCCAATCCCAGGACCAATATCTCTGTGACCTTTACATATTATTATAATGCTACCAACAACGTCGACAACTCATGGAGTGTAGTTCTAGAGCTAGGAGCATAGTAACACACTGGCATTATTGTTGCCCAGGCTGCTAATCGGTCTTTACATTACTAATCTGATCACGATGGCAACAAGCGGGGGGGGGGGGGACGTGCGCGCGCGCGTAACATATCTATGTGATCATAATTTGTCAGTCACAGATCTATGCCTAGTTTGATACACTGAAATCTTTCTGTGTGATGACGAGCAGCACTGATGAATCATATGACGGTGACACCTGTACTGCTTTATCTCTAGCAGGTAAGACCAGGCTCTACCGTACAACCATATGCTGTGGAGCCCTGTGGTAAAGCTCTCGCTCTAGCCCTTTGCTCTGCCACAGGCTGTCACACCCTTCGCTTTGACACAGGCTGTCACACCCTTCGCTTTGACACAGGCTGTCACACCCTTCGCTCTGACACAGGCTGTCACACATATGGTTTCTCAATCTCTAACGCTAGCCTTCCTCTACCAACTCACTAATTTATGTTGTACTGCGAAAGTGTTGAAGATATCCGTGTAGTTATGTAGTGTCGACAGCGTAGAAGGTAGCCATAGCAGATTGTAGCAACGTAGAGCCGTAGTCGCAGATTAGTTGTTTCACTTGGGACTTTATTACTTACTCAACACCGTCAAAATATATACAATGCCACAGCCTAGGCAACATGCCTAGGCTCCGGTGCCTCGTCTCGATCTGTCTCCGAAATCTTATATCTTGTCTCTACATCGTGGGTAGGTAACTATCTATCTCTCTGTCCTAGCGTCTCTATTTATATGATTTCCAAAATCGCCCGGTGACATTTGGATCAGACGGGTTCTTCGTCATTATCGGCCGGACCTTGTGGGGCTAGGAGACGCGTGAGGCTCATTACGAAAACAACACCGAACCACCAGGCCAGAACACAGGCCAATTTGTTCCACTGCCTAGCCTGGCTAGAGCGCTCCTGGTTAATTACAATGTACCATACAATATTTACACTGCGTGTACAACGAAGCTGCTTTTGTGTGCTTGTAAGTTGTAATGTATTGCATTAGTATATGAGGCAAAGCTGCACACATTTCATGCAATCTCAAATTAGTCATCCCGACCTTTATTCGGCCTATGTTAGAATGATAATTTTGTATAGAGTTGAGGATTTAGCCAGAGCTGCAGAACTGGCCAGACTTGGCCAGAGCCAGAACTGCACACAACGGAATATACAAACTAAAACAGCGGCAAACCACAAAGGGTAGTGTTAACGAGTCAGCAACATACCTTGCCCTGCATGATCACCCGCACCGTCAGGCTCGGAGAAGGCCCGTCCGCCGACGAAGTGGAGTTTCTCATGTTCTCCATCGCTATCTCTGATGTCACATTAAGCATTATAACGACGGTTGAAATTCGCTACAAAACCTGAAACGAGAGAAGATGCGTGCCGCTGTTACGATCGCAACAACATCTGGCGCAGTGGCGCAGGCAGACAGCGACAAGCTCGTCGATTGTCCCTCGTGCGGACGACACACGCGCCGTGTAGAGAGTCACATTCGCTGGCTAGACAAACGACTGTTACGAATGTCTATATCTACCTAATCACAATCGCCGAGAGAATGCACAGCAGCCCTGACAGCAGGCACAACATAAATCCAAATCTAACTGTTGCCTACACCACCACATTACCACACCCACCGGGTTTAGAACGAGCCATGCGATATCGCTTAATTTTGTCGGGTCACGATTTATAAATTGATACCTACACGCTACACTACACTTGTTTATGAGTAACCTGCGTGCTAGACTGACCCCACCCCTATTACGTTCAGGCAGCTGCGTTCGATAACAGCGCGTATGAGCCTTCTAAATGTTTGTATGGTGGGTCTAGGCATTCGTGGGGGTACCGTAATGCACCCGCAATCAGATTTACGTGTCTAATATCACGTGACCCGCCCTTGACATCCTCAGGAATTCTGTTGTTTACACACTGATTATGACGATAATAAATTATCATTCGCCTAAGACTCGTTAATAGATAGTATCAGGAGTAAGATAATATAGGACCTATATTATCTTACTCCTGATAGTAGTATCATAGTAGGCACCACGGCCCGTTATTCAGTGCGGAATGGAATTCGTAGGCAGAGATTATCCATCGGCTCTGCATCTGTTCGAAACACACAAACCGTAGATATACTAGTATTCGCATGTGATTACGATCACCAAGGAGGTTCAGTGCGATAAATGCGCGACTTCCCTCATACGCTACAAATATCCCGCTCCACAACGAGTGGGGAGATGGAAGGAAAATGAAAGAGATGGAGAAAGAGAGAGACCGCGCGCGCGTGAATGAGACACAGAGAGAGAGATGGAGTAGGTGGAAATACTAGTATCATATATATTGTTGCGTGCAGCACATGCTGTTCAACTACTTGAAAATTCATGCAGCGTTTCTTATTTTCAGTACAATACGAATACTGCGTGAACACTGCGCGAACACTCTACGAGTTCCCACACGAACACTGCGCGAACACTCTACGAGTACCCACCCGAACACTCTACGAGTACCCACACGAACACTTGGCGCGAACACTCTTACGATACCCACACGATTAGCATCTACGAGTACCCACACGAACACTGCGCGAACACTCTACGAGTACCCACACGAACACTGCGCGAACACTCTACGAGTACCACGAACACTCGCGAAACAACTTCTACGAGTACACCGAACACTCTGACGAGTACGCTCACATCGCAACACTGCGCGAACACTCTATGTCGAGTCCCACACGAACCACTGTCGCGGAACACTCTACGAGTACCTCACCGAACCTCACGCAACGTACCCACACGAACACTGCGCGAACACCTCTACGAGTACCCACATCGAAACACTCTGGCGCGATACACTGCTTATCGAAAGTACAACAATGGAACACGCGCGAGACTACCGTGCACTGGATAATGTATGGAACACTGTACAGGTTCCACACGACACACTACGTGAACATGGCACGTAATGTAGGAAAGCTGTACAGGTTCAGTTCACGAACACTTGCGCGAACAATCGATTCGGATAATGTAGGGAACATGTCTGTACAGGTTCCACATCGAAATCTACGAGTGAACACTGCACGGATAATCGTAGGAACACTGTTATCAGGTTTCCACAGAACGCTGCGGTTCGTAACACTGCCCGAAGGTGTGTACGAACAGCGAATGTTTTGCAACGAAACGGTAAATAATGGTCGTGTGACGACGATTGCTGATTTTTTACTGCGTCTTCTCCGTAGTATAGATACGGATAGTATAGCTACGATTGATGAATTAAAGAGCACACGAACTATTATATTGTATTTACACATTGTATTGTGTGCTCTTTATGAATTGATATATGCCTTTCCTTAGCAACGTTTTGTATACGCGCTACGTTGGTAAAGGGCAGATTCAATGATTTAAATTGTTGTTTATAAGTACACCGGTGGCGGAGTACAATACGCGAGTACACGTAGTAGAATACATTACATGAAACACGTGTATTCCACTTGCAATAATTCGTCTATGTTGGCTATCGGCAAGTATACGCATAAGACTCTCAGGAAGGTGTAGAAATGGCTTCTCTTAGGATTGAAAAACACTATATATTGATAAAAGTTGGTTTTACGTTTTATTCAATCATGGGACAAAATGCAAAAGAAACAAGTAGAGCCTATTTTCATATAGATGAAGTGCTTCGTTGCAATTGATATTCATCAAATTTGGTCATCACATTTAAACGTACCCAATCTCTCTGTCATCAGCTAACGTGGTCCTTCTCTTGTACAGTATACAGTTAGCGAGAGGTACTATTGATTACGTGTTATGCCGGCTGAAACTAACAATCACAACAACACCGGACATTAGGAAACGCATGGATTCATCACCCTCCAGGGCAAGAGAGCCGGAGATGGGAGGAGGTAGCGAGAGAGATGGTGAAAGAGAGAGGGAGCAGAGAGCGCGCGCGATAGAGAAAGAGAGAGCAAGAGAATGCGAAAGAGAGAAAATGAGAAAGGAAAAGGGGTGGGGGATAGAGGGAGAGAGAAAGCGCAAAGAAACATGAAAGAAACCTAACCCATTGATGTGTTACGGGTTCGCATCCACCAGCGATGCACCGAGCCTTCAGTCACGCCTCGTTTGCTATTCACAGAACAGGGATTAAACTATTGAGAAACGATCTTATACGGTGTCACTTTATTTTTATTCCTGCTCTATACGGCTTCCATTAAAACGAAAACAAACCCGTTTCATATTGGATCGAGATCGTACGAGCGACCGTTCATCGGTGAAGCATTAGAGTACGAAACAGCGGAGCATAAATTTACTTGGTTATTTGCGGAGTGTACGTATTCACTTCGATCGCGATATCAATATTCATCCTCGAGAGCGTATCGATTTTAACCAACCGTTATTTGCGACATCTGGTCGAATTTTGCGACGTCAAATGCCCCTATGTCTTGATAGAGGTCATTATTTAATGTTGGAATGTCCGTCCGCAGCTCAGGCCAGGTATACTTCCACTATTTGATCATGTGATCTAAAACGGGGTAACAAAAATAAAGTTTCCAACGCGGCAAATGTCTCGTCTCAAGTGTTTGTAATATTTCGACCCGCAAGAGTGGAAGATTTTACCTTAAAAATCTATTTCCATTATCAATACTCGTTTGTTATAACTCCTTTTTCTCATTTTCATTTAGAAGGCGCTTACACCGTCAGATATAGTGACCGCTGTCTCAATTTCGAAATGAAAGGCCTAATTCGCATCTTTGAAGATTGCAAAGTCTCTTCGGTCTGATACGATCCTCTCCGCAGGGCATTATATCGCTAGCTTACTGAAGCTCTGATTTCATGGAAACAATCGAGATCTGTAATTAATTAACTCGTCAGCGACCAGCTCTGAAACTTAATTAGTTTGAAACAATTTTGACAACAAGGAGCATGTACGTGAGTGTGTCCTGCATAGAAAAGCATCGGGAGCCTAATAACTAGCGAATGTAATGCAAAGGTACAAGGAAATGAAAATAATTCGTCATACTCCGTTCCTATTATTTAACTCCTGAAAATATCGAAATTTTAGCACAACTTCATTTTAGTAGGTAGGCCAATCGTGAAAGACGGTCATATTCTAAGAAAGGGCATTCTTTGAAGAGAATGGCCATGCACTCGCTAATACCGCGTCCTTCTGATGTTTGGTAACACAATACCGTGTTTCTTCTGTGAAGTGTAGAGTATGGCTTATTGCATTGAACGCTTTTTCATACATTCAATTTAACGATCATTCTCCACTCTAGATCAATCCGTGCGAGATAAGTTGGCCAAAATTACATTCAACAGCGAAAATACGAAATACGAAGAAAGTACGAAAACATACGAACTACCAAGTGTGAAAAATGCCCTCAGAACGTATAACCATTCTGAGACCTATATGGAAACTTGGAAAATGGCGGTTGCATCACAGTGTCGTGATTTAGCGTCTACATTATTACCGTACATTAATCACAGCCCAGACAATCTGCAATGATAATAGCATTGCCCGCAAAGCTTTACTGCGGCTGCATGAACAGCAATTTCATTCGAAATCCCGACGGGAAGATTAATCTAAGCACTATTAACACGTAGCGTCTTCGATGTTCTATCAGAAAATAATTACTGCTTCACCCGCACGGCAATATAATCTCCGTGTAAGGCTGACCATTAAAAAACTCGCATGCGATATGACTGCACCAACAAATTATACGGGCGCATATCTAGGATGGAGAATCTGTTGGGAAGAGCGAAGAGGAGAAGGCGGAGATAAAAGAAGACGACGAGTGCGGGATAACCAATGAAGACGACATTATTAGCGTCGCGTTATCGTTTGCTCGGGATTAAGATCGATTACAACAGATATGGATAGTTTATCCTGCATGTGGAGTGACGTTATTATGTTTAACAGGAAGTTTAATACGAGACGTAGGCTTTACGCGTATGTATCGAATGACCGATACAATCCTAGCGTATGTCGCTCTGAAATGATCACGATATTGTCCTAACGTAGAGACTGGTGTACGAATAATCGTTTTAGTAAGATTTTACTGGGTGTGCAGAAATCCTTAAGGACGGATGTCTTTGAGTAGTTTCATGGTGATGCAGTTTTAAGTTGCAGTTTTGTATGTGTTATATTTTACGCACTCTCCTCCACTCTCTTTATAGCTCTCTCTCTCTCTCTCTCTCTCTCTCTCTCTCTCTCTCTCTCTCTCTCTCTCTCTCTCTCTCTCTCTCTCTCTTTCTCTTTCTCTTTCTCTCTCTCTCTCTCTCTCTCTCTCTCTCTCGCGCGCGCGCTCTCTCTTTCTCTCTCTCTCACACACACACACTTTCTCTCTCACGCCCCCCCCCA